AGTGATTGACACCAGTTGACAAGCGCTCATTTGACTACTACTATTGTGAGTTGCCAATTTTGTGGAATAAATTATTTGCCTGTATTGCTGCACTTAGATGGTGCTGCTTCTCTCTCTTTTATGACTGTGCCAGCTTGCCTTCTTCCCATAGTGCATCCTGGTGCCATCTCTTCCCAAGGTAAGCAAAACACACGCACTTGACCATCCACATGAAAAGAAAATGTGACCAGGCCACCTTCTTTCATAGCTCCGAGGTCTAGTTCTGATGCTCATGTGTCCATCGTAGGCACTTCTGGCTGTGGATATGGGTCAGCATGGGCATTCTGACCAGTCTGCGGCTACACAGCCCTGGAGATCTGGAGAATTTGGAGGCCAAGTCAACAACTCATTGTTGTTTTCCTCAAACCCTTCTTGAACTCATCAGACCAGGCCTCCTTTTTCCATTGATCTGTAGTCCAGTTCTGATGCTCACGTGCCCAATGCAAGTCCTTATTCACCTCTCTAACATTAGGCATTGTGGAGAAATTAATCTTTAAAGTTCACAACAGAGGCTTTAAAATATCAGCTCTCTCGCCCTGATCTTCTATGGAGAGCAGAATCTTGGCAGGTGGGCAGTCCTCTCATGTATTTACAATTCAGGTGCTCTAAGCTGCTAAAAACCGAACTTTAGAGCCTTTGTTGTAATCTTTCAGGATGATACAAGGCCATTCACAATGCCGCCTACATAACTGACCTGATACCCAGATACTACCCTACCCGTGCCCTCCGCTCCTCACAGGACCTCCTGCTCTCTAGCTCCCTGGTCTCCTCCTCCCACGCCCGATTGCAGGACTTCTCAAGGACTTCCCCCATCCTCTGGAACTCCCTACCCCAATCCATCAGACTGTCACCTACCCTCCTCACCTTCAGGCGCACCCTGAAAACCCTCCTCTTCAGGGAAGCCTACCCCAAACTCACCTAACACCCGGCCTCACCTAACAACTAACCTCCTCCACTCCACCCACCACTCCATCCCCCACAGCCATCTCCTCCTGTGCCACCTTCCCTTCCCTCCTAGATTGTAAGCTCGAAAGAGCAGGGCCCTCGAACCCCTCGTGTAGTGTATTGTTACTGTCTTGTCTCATGTTATGTCCCCCTTGCTACTGTACAGCGCTGAGCAAACCCTTTGGCGCTATATAAATACTGTATAATAATAATAATAATAATTAGCTCCACAGTACCTGTAGCTACAGAGGTGATGGTTTGCTGTGAAGATATCTTACTGATTGTTAAGAATAGATACTCTGGGCTTAGGTGCAACTTAAAGGTTAGGCTAGGTGTAAGAGGGTTAGGTGTCAGGGTCAGGACTAGTTTACCTTAGTATCAAAGCTTACATACTGTCCCATGCATTGCTCAGGTATTGACAGAACATTTTGGTGAATCTTTATCTTTGCAACATAAACGAATCAAACCATCTTTTATCAAAGACAACCTCCAAAACTAGGAACGCAATTTTGTTTGGTTGAGCCTTGTTTCTAACACCAATCCTGGTCTGTTCTGAAACATCAGTCAGTTGTGTGCAGACATTATGGCTTTGGACAAAAAAAGAACCCCATCTCAAGCTACTGTATAATGGCACCTTAGATTGAAAATCTTTTCCAAACAGGCAGAAAAGGTGCTATTGAACTCAGTAAACAAAACGTTTTTTTTCAGCAAAGAAAGTAAGACTGGTCTGGTAAACCTTAAAAGGAGCCCAGGACGCCATCTGCTGGTTAGAAATGGAATTATAACCTAATATTTTTAAAAATTATATTATACTTCTGGACAATAAAGAAATGATATACAAAATCACTGTATTGTCCCTTTATCAATGAGGCAACCATAGGTCTGGGGATATAAAAACTGTAATGTACAATGTCAGTTATATAGTTAGTCAGGTAGAATAAAGGCTCCTCCCTCACAAATATTATCTTTTGTATCACTTGCTCCTCCCTTTTAAGTTGTGTGCTCTCATGAGCAGGGCCCTCCTAACTTCCTTGTCTTGTATGGTTTTGTAAGTGTACCATCGCCATTTATTTTATAAAGCACTGTGCAAACTATTGGCGCTATACAGTATAAATCCTTTACTAGAATAATAATAAAATGATGATACAGTATACAGTTGCAAGAAAAAGTATGTGAACCCCTTGGGATTACGTGGAGTTTTGCATGAATTGGACATAAAATGTGCTCTGAACGTCATCTAAGTCACAACAATAGAATAACACAGTCTGCTGAACATAATACTACACAAACATTAGATGTTGCCATGGTTTAATTGCACATAACATGTAAACATTCACAGTGCAGGGAGGAAAAAGTATGTGAGGCCCTAGCTTAATGACTTCTCCCAGAGCTAATTGGAGCCAGGAGTGAGCCAACCTTGACTCCAATCAGTGTGATGATATTGGATGTGTTGCTGACAGCTGTCCTGCCCTTAAAAAACACACACCTGTTTTGGGTTTACTGGTTTCAAGAAGCACTGTCTGATGTGAACCATGCCTCGCAGAAAAGAGCTCTCAGAAGACCTACGATCAAGAATTGTTGACTTGCATGAAGCTGGAAAGGGTTACAAAAGTATCTCCAAAAGCCTTGATGTTCATGTGTCCACGGTAAGACAGACTGTCTACAAATGGAGAAAGTTTAGCACTGTTGCTACTCTCCCTAGGCATGGTCGTCCTGTAAAAATGACTGCAAGAGCACAGCGCAGAATGCTGCATGAGGTAAAGAAGAATCCCAGAGTGTCAGCTAAAGACCTACAGAAATCTCTGGCACATGCTAACATTTTTGTTGATACATCTACAATAAGGAAAACAATAAACAAGAATGGAGTACATGGGAGGACACCACAGAGGAAGCCATTGTTGTCCAAAAATAATATTGCAGCACGTTTGAAGTTTGAAAAAGAGCACCTGGATGTTCCACAGCACTACTGGCAGAATATACTGTGGACAGATGAAACCAAGATTGAGTTGTTTGGGAAGAACACACAACACTATGTGTGGAGAAAAAAAGGCACAGCACACCAACATCAAAACCTCATCCCCACTGTGAAACATGGCGGAGGGAGCATCATGGCTTGGGGCTGCTTTGCTGCCTCAGGGCCTGGACGGATTGTTGTCATTGATGGGAAAATGAATTCCAGAGTTTATCAAGACATTTTGCAGGAAAACGTACGACCATCTGTCCGCCAACTGAAGCTCCGCAGAGGATGGGTGATGCAACAGGACAATGACCCAAAGCATACAAGTAATTCAACAAAACAATGGCTGCAACAGGACAGAATACGCCTTCTGGAGTGGCCCAGTCAGAGTCCTGACCTCAACCCGATTGAAATGCTGTGGCATGACCTTAAGAGAGCGATTCACACCAGACATCCCAAGAATATTGCTACACTGAAACAGTTTTGTGAAGAGGAGTGATCCAAAATTACTCCAGATCGTTGTGCAGGTCTGATCTGCAACTACGGGAAACGTTTGGTTGAGGTAATTGCTGCCAAAGTGTCAGGGCAGGGGCCGAGGAACGGACAGGCAGGCCTAACAATGTAACGCACTGGCTGACGACAACCACCACCCACAGACCGAAGTCCCTCAGGGCGCGGAGTCTAAGTCCCAGGCTGCCCTTCACCAGGGCCCCTGATGGTGGGGATGGACTTGACGCAGCCAGGAACCAGGTCGTGGCCCCTGAGACACCTCAGCTGCGGTAATGGCCGCCGCCAATGGCGTGTAGCTGGTGGAAGAGACAAAAGAGTAGTCAGACAGGCCGGGTCAACAACAACAGGACAAAACAGTACAGGACAGCAGACGAGAATCACAGGTCACGAGCCGGGTTCAGCAACAGAGGGTCAGATCAAAGGAGAATACAAAGAATAGTCGAGTCACAAGCCGAATCAGATACCAGGAGAGTCACGAGAGTCAGAACAGAGTAATAGCAACACAAAGACACAAGACACAAGTGCAAAGAGCATGTGCGGGCCACAGGCTTATATGTCATCAGCCACACCCCTCTGGGGGATGGACCTCAGAGACCTGAAGGCATAAAAGGATTCCCACCATGCACAGCAGAATCCAAGATGGACGCCAGCACATGGAGTAACATAACCTCAGGGAAAAGGTAGGACCTTGACACAAAGGAGGGTCAACCAGTTATTAAGTCCAAAGGTTCACATACTTTTTCCTCCCTGCACTGTGAATGTTTACATGTTATGTGCAATTAAACCATGGCAACATCTAATGTTTGTGTAGTATTATGTTCAGCAGACTGTGTTCTTCTATTGTTGTGACTTAGATGACGTTCAGAGCACATTTTATGCCCAATTCATGCAAAACTCCATGTAATCCCAAGGGGTTCACATACTTTTTCTTGCAACTGTATGGACCATTTTGAATTTATACCAGTGAAATATTAATACAAACATTTCTGTCATTTCAGTTACAGGATTTTTTGTGAATGTGGCATTGGCTAGGAAAGAAAATAAAGGGAAAATAAATCCTTCTTCATCCCATAAGGCAATTATTTCTTATCTGGATCAACAATCTACAATGTAATCGCTTATAAGAAAAAACAATAGCCGGTTGTGTCTTGTGGATGTGGCATTGGCCATAGCTAATTTTTAGTCTGTAGGTTAATATTCTATTCTGCCACCACAGAAACTTATGAACCTCAAAAACAAGACAGCTGTGAAGATCTTTGAGTTGGCAGGACTAACCAATGACAGCCAGCTTGCCCCATTCCTCTTCTCCATCTTCTTAATTGTTTACTTAATCTCAATATTGGCGAATGCTGGCATGATGGTCTTGATCCTAAAAATCTTCTAGTCTCCAGACTCCGATGTACTACTTCCTGAGCTTCCTCTCTTTGGTGGACCTCCTATACTCCTCTGTTTATAACACCTAAAATGCTGGCAGACCTTTTATCCCAGAGCAAGACCATATCATTTAATGGCTGTGCAATACAATTTTTCTTCTTTGCTATAATGGCAGTCACGGAATCTCTCCTACTTTCAACTATGTCGTATGATCGATATGTAGCTATCTGCCAACCTCTATGTTATGTCTCAATAATGACCAAGAAGAGATGCTTGAACCTGATTCTACTCGTCTTCAAAGTTGGTTGCTTGCAGTCTGTAGTACAAACCAGCTGCATCTTCACTTTAGAATATTGTGGACCAAACTTTATAAACCACTTTTACTGTGATGGCCCACCCCTGTTCAAATTGTCCTGCTCCGATACTTTTTGGTGTGATTTGATAGCCTTCTTCTTTGTAAGTATTTGTGGTGCAGGGTCATTGATGACTATCTTGGTCTCCTATACACTCATTGTTTTGTCTATTCTTTGTATGAAGTCCAGGAAAGGCCAACAGAAAGCCTTTAATACATGCTCCTCACATATTATGTGCCTCTCTATCTTCTACGGGACAGTTTTCTTTATCTATTTGCGTCCTACAGATCACAGCTTTGAGGAACAAGACAGAGTGGTTTCCATATTGTATACAGTACTGATACCTATGCTCAACCCTCTTATATACAGTCTGAGGAACCAAGATGTGAAACAGGTCATCAAGAAAGCAATACATATAAAACCCTGATTTAGTCAGCTTTTAGCATCTAAGTTAGAAGATTCTTCAGAGAAAAACTTGGAGACGGTCATTTCTAATTCTACAGCTGTTTTGAGATGTATATCAGGAATGTACAGACCAGTCAGCCTAACACCAATAGTGTGAAAGATATTTGAGAGACTGGTAATAGAATCAGAAATAAAGGGATCAAAAGTGACAACCAGCATGGATTTATGAAAAATTGTTCTTGTCACACCTGTTACCATTCTATGAGGAAGTAAGTGAGAAATTGGATGGTGGAAGTCCAGTGGAAGTAGTTCATCATGATTTTTCTAAGGCAGTTGACACTGTACCTCATGAACATTTAATCTATAAAATAAAATCTATTGGAGGTGATGAAATCATATGTACAAGAATAGGAAACAGATTACATGAACAGGTCCAGAGAGCAGTGAGAAATTACTCATTCTCTGAATGATCTAAAGTTGTGAGTGGTGTTCCCCAGGGTTCTATGTTGGGGCCATTGCTGTTCAATTTGTTTATGAATTATACAGAGGTTGGAATTAGGAAGCTCAATTTCGGTGTTTGCTGATGATACCAAATTATGCCAGGAAACAATTTCATCACAGGATGTAGCATGTTTACAGGAAGACCTTGATAAAATAGAGGGTTGGGCTGCTACCTGGCAGATGAGGTCCAACACTGAGAAATGTACAGTTATGCATTTGGGTGCCAAAAATACACATTAGGAGGGGCTCCCCTGGGAGAGTCAGTGAGGGAAAAGGATCTAGGGGTGCTTATAGATCACAGACTTAGCAATGGCATGAAATTCCAAGCTAACCAAGCTAGCAAATGACTCTCATGCATTCCAGAGATGCACTTATACACTTGGATGCCAAAAATTCACATTAGGAGGGGCTCCCCTGGGAGAGTCAGTGAGGGAAAAGGATCTAGGGGTGCTTATAGATCACAGACTTTGCAGTGGCATGAAATGCCAAGCTAACCAAGCTAGCAAATTACTTTCATGCATTCCAGAGATAAATCTACTTTGTTGAATTTAAAAGAGTTCAGCAAAGGGCAACAATATTAATAAGGGGGATAGACGACCTCAGCTATGAGGATCAATTTCATAGATTATAATTATTCACTCTGGAGAAAAGGTGCCTAAAAAGGATATGATTACAATGTACAAATACTGTATATCAAAGGTGACTTCAGTAACTGTAATAAACGGTTTACTTTAATGCCTCTGAAGGAAAGACATGGCAACAATTTGACCCTGGCTCTGATTCCCTGGGGCGCAAGGCTCCTGACAGGGACTGGGGTACTCCTTTCATTGGGAGGCCTGCCAAAGCAAAGCCTAACCAAGTAGTAGGTGGGCCCAAAAGGAGACTCCATAGGAGGGGGAGAACCTGACCAAAAGGCCATTCCCCACCAAGATTTTCAGGACAAGTCTGAGGACATACACCCTGCTAGTTAAGGTGAGTAAAGAGCAAAAGTGCTGTTCAAAATATGAACAAAAAAAACAAGGACGCAAAAAAAGGGAAAAGGGTCAGTGCTTCATGCCACTGTATAATAGAATGGTGAGCCCTTAAGCCAGTATACATATTCCTCTATCCTAGCAAAAAGGCCCTGCCTAGGGGGCAGGTGTAAAGAAAGCATGCATTAGTGCAGTGGCCTTGGGTTTAGATACACTTTAAAGCTTAACTACAGGAATTAGCAGTCATACTATGAGTTATGTCCAAAAAGTTTTCTGCCACCTCATGGACTTCTCTCTTTATTTTACTTCAGACAGATTTATTGTGCTACAGGAAGATAACTTCTGGAGCTCTGATGCTAGCCACTGCGGTCTTAGCTCCTTCAAATGTAGAGTTGATGCAGCTGCATTGCCCACCCCTCCCCTCCTCCTGCCCAATCACAGAAGCCTTTGTAATATGTTGTCAGGAACCATAAACCAGGCAGAGACAGAAAGTGCAGTTAAAGTCACACCTTTAATGAAATAGCAAAAATAACACAGTTCAGGAACGTAGTAAAAAACATAGTCAGGATTTGGATGCCAGAGCGGGTAATCAGATGAGCTGGGGTCAGGAAAACAGAAGTCAGCATAGCCAGGAGCAAAAACCAGGAACAGGAGTCAGAAGAGAAGTTAGCCAGACCAACTTGTATACAGGAACACGGGCAGAAACACACTGGAGATCTCAGACCACAGAAGGACAAGGAGGAAATGAGCTAAGCTGCTAAAATAGCAAAAAGTGCTGGCTGGACTATTGAGGCAGGTAATGGTATCCAGGTGAGTCACTGTAGAGACAACGAGTGGCTGGTAATTAACCGACAGCAGAGCAGCTTCTGAGCACTGAAAGAAAAGAGCTGCTCCTTAAGTAGCAGGAGTCAAGCCCTGACATACACTATATTGGCAAATGTATTGGGATACCCCTCCAAATCATTTGATTCAGATGTTCCCATCACCTCCATGGCCATAGGTGAATATAGTCAAGCCCCTAGGCATGCAGACTGTTTCTTCAAACATTGGTGAAAGAATGGGTCGCTCTCAGGAGCTCAGTGACTCCAAGCGTGGGCCCGTGATAGGTGGCCACCTGTGTAATAGGTCCATCCGTGACATTTCTTGGCTACTAAATATTCCACGCTCAACTGTTAGTGGGATTATAACAAAGTGGAAGCAACTGGGAACAACAGCAACTCAGTCACCAAGTGGTAGGCCACGTAAAATGACAGAGCGGGGTCAGCGCATGCTGAAGCGCACAGTGCGCAGAAGTCGCCAACTGTCTGCAGAGTCAATAGCTAAAGACCTCCAAACTTGGTGTGGCCTTCAGATGAGCCCAACAACAGTGCGTAGAGAGCTTCATGGAATGGGTTTACATGGCCGAGTAGCTGCATCCAAGCATTCTTATCCGACATCAGTGTCTGACCTCACAAATGTGCTTCTGGAAGAATGGTCAGACCTTCCCATAGACACCCTCCTAAACCTTGTGGATGGCCTTCCCTGAAGAGATGAAGTTGTTATAGCTGCAAAGGGCGGGGCCAACTCAATACTGAACCTTACAGATTAAGACTGGGATGCAATTAAAGTTCATGTGCGTGTAAAGGCAGGCGGCCCAATACTTTTGGCAATATAGTGTATATCATAACAGTCTAGACAGCTCATATGTGAAAAATGCCCTCCCAACCTTTAAATTCTCCTGAAAGTGTAACAAAAACAGAAGCCGGGTGATACTACAGATAGAAGAGATGTGATATTAAAATGTAAAAATGGTATGACGTCAAGACATCTTCTTTCCGATTTGCTCCTGAAGCCAGCTCCATCTTTGTTAATGGTCCTTTGGTCATGGACAAAAAAATCAGGAAAGCTATTCCAGCAGTATATTACCTACAAAGAGAGGATTTTTGGGTCCCTTACTGTTTATAAACCTCAAATTGTTTATAGAAAGGCACCAGCACATATAGGAAAATTACAAATTTTAAACCAAACATCATGGGTAGAAAATATAAAATAAACAAAATATTTTTTGAGCCTGCGGTGCTCCTGACGGGGGGCAAGGCACACACAGGTCCACCCAGCTAAAAGGCCCAAAGCTGATCACTGAGCACTAGGTTAGGGACTCTCCTGAAAAGAGACCTCTAAGCCAGGGAAGGAATCTTACGGCCACACGGTGCAGTGCTTAGTCAAAACCCCTGTGAACAAAAAGTGAACCGTGAAATTGCAGCACACAAAAAAAGTGCACAGAGGATACAGTATGATCAATCCTCTGAAGAGAAAGGACCTCTAATCCTGAACCTCCCGAGGTGCAAGACTCCTGACATAGGCAAGGTACACCATGGTCTACCTAAGCCGAAGCCAGGTGGACCCTACTCCACCAAATACTTGATGACGAGCCTACCGAAGAGAGATGCCTCCGGATGGGGTAAGATGAGGCACCTGAAGGCCAAAGAACCTTCTCCCAACATCAGGGCAGCCGCAGTCCCCCCCCCCCCCCCAGTGACCTGCACCCTCCATCTCTGTGCAAAAACACACAAAAAGACACAAAGGCATTGCAAGTGCTAATGACAAACACATGACAACAACAAATAAAGCTTCCATGTGCAGTACCTAGTGGGTCAGAAGGCCACATCTAAAGGTGAAGGGCAAGTATAGCATGAAGCAACTTGTCCTTGTTCATAAGAAACACCAATGGCGTGATGCACCCCAATGGGCACCCCTGGAATGCCACACCCTAGTTTTAATGGAGAAAGCTTTCTTGAAAGCTGACAAGCAAAGATATTACACTTGATCTTAGTAAAAAAAGGCTGAAAACTTAAGGGGCACACATCCTCCCTTTGACCTCAGGGTAAGGCAAGGTAGCAGTGCTCAAATCAGGAGGCGCTGGGCCACTCAGAGCCCTCTACACCAGGGGAATACTCCCACCCCCACCATACCAAGTGGGTGTGGAAAGAAGAATAAAGCAACCGAATGCATATACTCCTGCACTGGACAGTGGACTCCACAATGTCAAAATCCCCACGAGTATGAAAGGAATGCAAGCCTTGCTGCCCTCAACGGACCAGGGAAATACAAAGAGAACTGTATATAAGAAACAAAGAGAGGGCACACGGGCCTAGTGCATTACCTTTAAAAATTACATTTATTATAAATAGTAAAATACTCACAAGAAAAATCAAATCAAATGGAAAGCATGTCACAAAGGATGCAATGTG